CTGGACATTAGCACATTCTTGTGCACACTTTAAGAAGGATTGTCCTTCAAACATGAAAACCTGAAGCTTGCTTTTCCCTCTGGGATCATGGCAAAAACACAAAAATGATTTGGTTAAAGTTTCCATTGTATCCCCTTCCATACAGCATCACAGGAAGTGAATAGACAGAGGGTTTGGGGGCCCAATGGCTGGAGGGATGGAGGGGTGGAAGGAAGCCTTCAGCCCCTGCCTTCAGCTTCAGTACACACTGATAAAGCTTGTCTGGGCTGGTGTATTTATAGACTCCGCAGAGAGGGAGAGAGCCGATATAAATATTTGAATACCTTTTTATTTAGTAGTGATGTCTATTCCAATGTTGGTTTTTGTCTTTTCCAGTAATTGGCATAGATGCCCAGAAGAACTAAATTAATTGCATGAGCAAACTTATTATATTGTTTAGGTTAGTTCCAGACCAAGTTGGGAAAATATAATAGGCTAGCGGAGAAAGAACTTATTTTTTAGTTCATTAAAATACCCACCGATGGGGTTTTTTTTTGTAAATCAAGGAATTTTTGTATATCACAAGCACCAGGGAGTGTTGGGTCTTGGGCTAATGGGGTGAGTCTTATTTATCTATTGGTACTAGTTCTATGATTATCAGCAGTAAGCAAACGCTATCCAGAACAGTAAGTGCTCAGCATTGCTCATGAGCCCTGGGGGCCCTGGAGCCTCTGGGATTACTCACAAGCTCTCAATCGCTGCTCACATGCACCTGCAGGGTCCCTCACAGGTTGGAGCTTGCTTGTCTGTTGACTGCATGAATCACCCTTGAACATCCAGACTCTTTGTGTGGCCCTTCATGCTCACTTAGCCTGAATTGTGCATCTAAGTGAAGCCAGAAATCTGAGAAGGGGTGCAGAGACTTGACCCTCTCCTCAGACCAAACTCCATTGAGATCTACTGCATTCCAGTCTTAACAGTCAGTCGAACAGTGAGCCTGGTTTCAAGGGGTGAACTAGATGCTCCCTGTTCTGGGAGAAAGCACACAATTACATTGCAAGGGCAATGGAGGGGAATAATTGAGGAATGTTTTGCAGTCAAACTTACATTAGCAACAACAAAGCGACTACTGAAGGCTGAGAAGATAGATGAATAAGCTGTACACTTCAATGGTGTGGAGTAGCTTCAGGTGTGGATTAGAACTCAAAGGGAAACGGTGAGGGCATGGGGCGGCTGCACTCTGGAAAAGGGCGATGCCTGAGATTGGATGGTTTGTGAAGACAGCTTTTAAATGCTACAAAGGCTCCAGCCTTAGAAGATGTCTGGTTATAGTTTTTGAGACAACATGTGCAAGAGTCCTAGGGCACAAATAATATTAGTGATGAATTTATGGAGAGAAATATAAGTACTGCACGGTCACCACTGGTGTGCTTTCTAGAGAGCTCAGTGCATGGAGCATAGATGGTGGAAGGTAGATGGAAGATAGATGATGGAGCATAGGTGATGGAGGATAGATGATGGAAGGTAGACGGAGGATAGATGATGGAGCATAGATGATGGAAGGTAGATGGAGGATAGATGATAGAGCATAGATGATGGAGGATAGATGGTGGATAGATGATGGAGGATAGATGATTGATAGAAGATATATGATGGAAGGTAGATGTTGGAGGATAGAAGATGGGGGGTAGATGATGAAGGATAGATGATGGAAGGTAGACGGAGGATAGATGATGGAGCATAGATGATGGAAGGTAGATGGAGGATAGATGATAGAGCATAGATGATGGAGGATAGATGGTGGATAGATGATGGAGGATAGATGATTGATAGAAGATATATGATGGAAGGTAGATGTTGGAGGATAGAAGATGGGGGGTAGATGATGAAGGATAGATGATGGAAGGTAGACTGAGGATAGATGATGGAGGATAGATGGAGGATAGATGATGGAGGGAGGGTAGGAGACCAACAGGTAGGGATGAGTTGGTGCTTTCTGTGCCCAACTGATTTTGTTCCAGGATCAAATACACTCACCAAAAATTGGAGTAAAAGTTTTCTTAACATAGAAAGAAATTTCTTTCTTTTTTTATTGTGAAAATACTGTACAGAGGGGTTACAATTACATGAGCAAGGTAATGAGTACATTTCTTATCAAGTATTGTTGCCTCCTCCTTTGTTTCCCCTTCCCATCCCTTCCCATGCTCCACACGCTCACCCTTGACTCCCCTTGTGCCAAAGTTGTAAAGTTCGTTTTTCGACATAACGTCTTGTACATCTCATTGTTGCAATGGGTCCACCTGTATCCCTATTTAAACGATTTGTTTTTTTCCCTTCCCTTCCACAAATTATACCAACATCAAATACAGTGAAAACAGGAATTATAACGTGGGGGAGGGACATACAAAGCAACAAAGAAATCGTCTTATAAATATGTTAGAAACAATTGCAAGAAAGAAAAAACGAATCCTCATCTTGGGGTTTATCTGACTGTTTCTACTTGTCTAAGACATATACTAGTTATTGCAAATAAGGGACACCATGGGACCTACGTTTCTTTGGGCCTGGTTTACTTCACTTAATATAATTTTTCCAAGTCTTTCCATTTCCTAACAAATGGGGCAATGTCATTCTTTCTGATGGAGGCATAGAATTCCATTGTGTATATATACCACATTTTCTTGATCCATTCATCTATTGAGGAGCATCTGTGTTGGTTCCATATCTTACCTATGACAAATAATGCTGCAATAAACATAGTTGTGCTGGGAGCTTTAGTATGGTCCTGTTTGTGATCATTTGGGTAAATGCCCAAAAGTGGGATTGCTGGGTCATAGGGGAGCTCTATGTGAAGTCTTTTGAGGAACCTCCATACTGCTTTCCAAAGTGGTTGAACAAGTTTACACTCCCACCAACAATGCAGTAGGGTTCCCTTCTGTCCACATACCCTCCAGCATCTGTTGTTATTAGAGTTCTTGATTCTAGCCATTCTAACTGGGGTAAGGTGGTATCTCAATGTTGTTTTGATTTGCATTTCTTCATGTGTCTATTTGCCATCTTTCTTTCCTCTTCAGAGAAGTTTCTCTTTAAGTCTTTAGCCTACTTATTTATTGGGCAGTTGTTTCTTTGAGGATTTGTTGTTGAGGGATTTAATTTTTTGAGTTCTAGGTATATTTTAGATATGAGACCCTTGTCAATTGTATGGCTAGTGAAGATCTTTCCCCGATCTGTGGATTTTCTATTGATCTTGCTATATCCTTTGCCATGGAGAAGCGCTGCAATTTCATGCAATCCCATTTGTCCAACCTTTCTTTGATTTGTTGTGTTTCTGGGTCTGTATTAAGAAAATTTTGACCTGTGCCAAGGAGACCTAGGGTTTCTCCTATTCCTTCCTGTAATGTTTTCAGGGTGTCTGCTTTGACTTCAAGGTCTTTGATCCATTTGGAGTTGATTCTGGTGCAGGGTGATATATACGGATCTAGCTTTAGTTTTCTATAGGTGATTAACCAATTTTGCCAGCACCATTTACTGAAGAGGCTGTCTTTCTTCCATTCTATTTTTTTAGCTCCCTTATCAAAGATTAGGTGGCTATAGGTCTGTAGGTTCATTTCTGGTTTTTCAATTTTATTCCATTGGTCCTGAGGTCTGTTCTTGTGCTAGTACCAAACTGTTTTGATTACTATGGCTTTGTAGTAGAGTTTGAAAATTGGTATTGTTAAGGATCATTTTTGCTATTCAGGGTCTTTTATTGTTCCATATGAACTTTTGGATTGCCTTTTCTATTTCCTTGAAGAATAAGGTTGGAATATTGATAGGTATCGCACTGAATTTGTAGTTAGCCTTGGGAAGTATTGCCATTTTCACGATGTTGATACTTCCAATCCAGGAGCATGGGAGGTTTTTCCACTTTCTAAGTTCTGTTTTGATTTCCTTTATTCAGGTTTTTAAAGTTTTCATCACAGAGGTCTTTCATTTCTTTGGTTAAGTTAATTCCTAGGTATTTTTATTTTTGGGGGGCTATTATGAATGGAGTTGCTTTCCTGATTTCAGCCACGCTTTTCTCATTGTTGGCATACAGAAAAGCCATTGATTTTTGAGGGTCAATTTTACACCCTGCTACTTTGCCAAAGTTTTGAATCAGCTTGAGTAATTTGGGAGTGGAGTCCGTGGGATTCTTTAGATACAAATCATGTCATCTGCAAAGAAGGAAAGTTTTACTTCATCTTTCCCTATTTGGATCCCTTTTATGTTTGTATTTGTCTTATTGCTGTAGTTAGGCATTCTAATACTAGATCGAAGAGAACTGGAGAGAGTGGACATCCTTTTCTCATTCCTGAGTTAAGAGGAAATGGCTTTAGTTTTTCACCATTAAGTATAATGCTGGCTGTAGGTTTGTCATATACAGCCTTTATTGTATTGAGGAATGTTCTCTGGATTCCTAGTTTTTCCAGAGCCTTCATCATAAAGGGTGTTGGATCTTGTCAAACGCTTTTTCTGCATCTATTGAGATAACCATGTGGTCCTTTTTTTTTTTTTTTGGGTCCGGTTGTGGGGCCTGAACTCTGGGCCTGAGTTCTGTCCCTCAGCTCTTCAGCTCAAGGCTAGCGCTCTACCACTTGAGCCACAGCGCCACTTCCGGCTTTTTTCTTTTTTGCTTATGTGGTGCTGAGGAATCGAACCCAGGGCTTCAGGCATGCAAGGCAAGCGCTCTACCACTGAACCACCTTCCCAGCCCACCATGTGGTTCTTATCCTTGCTCTTGTTGATGTGATGAATTATATTAGTTAATTTGCATATATTGAACCAGCTTTGCATCCCTGAAATGAATCCTGTTTGATCATGGTGTATGATATTTTGGATGAATTGTTGAAGTCTATTGGCCAAATTTTGCTGAGAAATTTTGCATCAATGTTCCTCATAGAAATGGGTCTATAGTTCTCTTTCTTTGATGAGTCCTGTCTGGTTTTGGGATGAGGGGTACAATGGCTTCACAGAATGAGTTCGGTAGTGCACTTTCTCTTAAAAATGTGGAACGCTTCACAAATTTGCACATCATCCTTGTGCAGGGGCCATGCTAATCTTCTCTGTATCATTCCAATTTTAGTATATGTGCTGCCCAAGTGAGCACTAGAAAGAAATTTCATAGTGAACATTTCCATCTATTTTGAAACAGAACATTTCTAAAGATGAATAGACATGAATCTGATAGAGTGTCATCAACTAGATATATTTTATTGAAAGACTTAGTAGATATAATTATTTCCATTGTGTGCATTTATTTTATAAATTTCATTTGTAACTGATGCTTTTTTGTTTTGCTTTCCACTCTGGTAAGGAGCTGAAACTTGCTTTCGAAGTACTTGTCCAAGACAGATGCCAATGAAGGCCAGAGTGACCTGCAGCCCCCTCTCTTCTCTCTTTAGGTTTTGGGGTGAGGCCACAAATCCAAATCCTCTTACCATGCCTTGGTCTTTTTGGACCTAGCCCCCAGACACCAGCCATCTCACTGGGATCAAAGAAACAGTTCTATGATTCCAGAGACTGCGAAGATCTGAGCAAGTGTGTGCCACAAAATGGTAGTGAGAATGGGGTAGAGATCTTAAAATATCACACACAGATGTTGATCAACTGTGGGAGTGAAGAGCCAAGGAAGGTGGTGGCCATTGGCTAAGGTTGGTCCCCTGCCTGGACTCATTCTTTTGGCACTGTGGGCATTCATGCAGAAGAATCTGTAAGCAGATGGCCTGCGGGTGTTTTATGAGGGCGGGTCTGGCCTTCTGCTCTTCTGCAGGGCCAACAATTCCAGACCCACTGCATTTGTTCCTTTATGACTTGGTTCTCCTCAAATATCTATCCATCCATTGTCTCATTCTTCAGAATTGGATTCCTTCTCTGTTAGAATTGAGCAAGTGAGGGGAATTGTATTAACCAGAGACCCCCACATTTGGGGTGGATTGGACCAGCAGGGATGACAAATAGCAGATATTTGTGTTGGAAATTCATTGGCCTCATGGAAGCCTTGGGTTGGCCACTGCATTTCCTCTGGCTGAGTCTCTCCCTGCCCCCTCCCCCAGCCTCCACTCCCAAGCCTCTTGCTGAGCCCTCTATGACGATAGTGTGTGTGTATGCTCACATCAGCTCACTACCCAGCCACTGGGGTGCATGTCAACTTCCCACTCCATCCTTCACTTAAAAGAAATGGCTCTGATTTCACACTGATGAGACAGATGATTGGAAAAGGAATTAACAGCTTTCCCCCTTTTCTCTTTATCTGTGAGATCAGGTTCTTCCTCCTGAGACCAGAGCTGTGGTCCTCATCTAATATCTGACAGACCCTGAGTCTGGGCTTGTCCCAGGCAGCATAAATTAGATTCCCTGAATGGCCTGGGAATAGCTACCTTAGGCCTTCTAATCCTCCTAGAGTTTAAAGCTCAACCTTATTAAAGGTCGAACTACTTTTGTTACCACCCAGAGGCTGGCACTAAAGATTAGGGATGGTTCTCTTCAAGGGTGGCCATAAAGCTTTTGCTTAATCATCGAGATATTTTCTTTTAATTTTTAACCTCCCACTGAGAGATCATTAAAATTTTGTTTGAACACCTTGACAATCAGAGTATTGCTGTTTTGTGACCCCATGTAACCTCCAAAGACAGTCTTAATACTAATAGACAGCTAGTATTCCCAAAGATAAAACTGATCACATTTCCCCTTTATTAAAAACACAACAAATTGGGTGTTGTGGATGAACAATATCACAGGGTATAATTTTTTTTGGTCATTTCAAGAAAACTGTTAATTGGATATTACTCTCCAGGCAAACAGCAGATCTTTTCCTCTTTTGCTGCACATATCACACTTGGAGATCACCACCATCTTCTGTCTGGAAAATCCTCCAACAAGGGACACACTGGTCCCCCACAGTTGCTGGAGTTTCGCCTTCTGCATGTGTGGAATTGCAGCCTGAACTCCCTGGAAGAGGAAGTGTGTGGGCGGGACTATTCTTCTTTACCCTCAGTGTTCTGCCTGATGGGTGGTAATGGCGGAAGCATAGACGACTCATATGTTGGGGAATGTCACTGGCAGGCAGAGACCCAGGGCTTTCTTCCCAAATCCAATTTACAAACAGATTCTACTCCTGGGGTCTAGCCATTCTCCCAGCAGGGCACTGCCAACCTCCCATCGCCTCCTGAGCTAAGAAATAACCTCCCTATCAATTCCTTCTCTGCTTTCTTAAGTGAAGCATTTTCAATGTGTCATATTTGTCATAAAGATAATAATGAATAGCTGTAGATGAAAGAAGTTAGCATCTTTTGGAATTATCTATCGATGTTATAGATATGTCTCCACAGGCAATGTGCAGAAGGACACCTGGGCCTTGCTTCTCTATGTGACACTGACAGGCTGGACTGGAAGGACTGTCCCTTTAGAAAGGGACACAAATGACCCCCTCCCGTGTAGGGGTCTCACTCAGTGCATTGTGCATTGCACTTTTACATAACCCAGTTTGCTAGATCTTTGACATTTTCAATCCAGAAAATACATTTTGTAACTTGGGAGAAAGTATAAAATTCACTAAACTAATTCAAATTATGAGTACAGAGTGTAGAAAAAAATTAACATGTGCAATAATGACAATACTTTTTTAAAGAATGTGTGCATAAATTTCCTGGATGTTTGCCTGGAAAGGTACTGGTATTCTTTTTAGGGTTAATGGAAATTAGGGGAAAATATAGAGAAGCACTGTCAGTTATCCAAGTCCCAAGACAAGAATATAAAACCAAAAACATATTTTCTAGTGGCGAGGTAACTATTCTTGGTGCTAAAAGCAGATCGAAATTCTTCACGTGGATTCTAAAAGGAGAAAGAAAAAATAAAGACAGTGCAGAACGTATCAAAATCTGTCCTTCACAATAAGCATGAGAAAGATTATTTCTCGAAATCTGTTTCATTTAATCTCCTAAACAACACCAGATACACTGAAGTGCCTTGGGGGAGGATAATAATATTGTCTGGCAACTGAAATTTCAACCAGTATGGTTTCATCAAAAGAACAACTTTAGAATACCTGTGAGAATGGAAATCAGCTTGGAGTACCTAGTGCCCAGTGACCTTTCTTCTGTGAGTAAAGAATGCACCGTCTTTCTCCAGAGGAAGCATCTTTTACCTCCCCTCCCCACGTTCATTTTTGCTGAGGTTCTGGGATCCAAACCCTGGACCCTTGCATGTAGTATGCAAGCCACATTCCCAGCCCTGACCCTTGACTTCAGGTGGAGTGGACTGGACTCAAGTCTGACACAGTATCTGATTCTCCTGGGATTATTGTAACGGCCCTTTTCTCCATGAACATATGGACAAAATGGAAGGGTATCTATAGAAACCATAGGTCTGTTTGGCTCTGATTATGAAGTAGGCTGGTTCTCTAAGCTTAGAGGATCCCTGTCTAGGCCCTCAGATGAGTGGGATGGATGCACGAATCCTTCATCCTTCATCCCCATGGAACAGCGATGCTCTTCTGTGTTCCCATTGAGAACACTGCTGTTAGTTCAAATGCAGGAGGCGATGCCATGGATTGACCTCAAACATACAGAGAAGAAATAATTTATTCCTTGTAACTTTCCCGCGTGACGGTACACAGGCTTGGGGGATGCTTCTGTCACACTCATTTACTATATTTTATTTTTTTTGCACTTGGACAATGTAATTGGCTTACAATTAAAATTAAGTTTGGGGGCCCTTTTCATGCTTCTGCACTTGAAAGGGAATGCAATTAGATTTAATTGAGGTCGAATCTCCAAATGACACCCCAGATACAGCGGGCAGCACATACATGTCTTCTTTTTCTCTGGCAGAGTACCTATTATTAAGTAATTTAATAAAAGACACTGCATGGAAGGCTTTGAAAACAAGGTTGATAAAATAAGATGTGACAATTTCTCTCTTTCGTTTGTGAAAGTTCCTGGCAATTCTGTCTGTTTCTCCAGCACATGGCCTCATACATCATTTTCTTCTGGGAACATGGAGAGTTGGGCAGAAAGGATGGAAAGAAAGAATCTTAAGGCTTTCCCTCTCCCTCAGTGTTTTCCCCACCAGATAACCGCACAAGATTGGACTCTGGATAAAGTTTATATCTTGAACATATGAGATTTTCCTCAAGACAGATCTGTAGGTGGTCTCAACCTCTAGCAATTATGTTGTTTATTAGAGAAATAATGAAAGGCCAACATTAGAATGACGTTTTTAAAATTACCTGTTCTTTGTAAAATGTGTTTCCTAAATTAGCTTGGAAGAAGGAGTTGGTAAGAGCCTTACGAACACATTAATGGAAGGAAATTAGGCAGGAAAAACAGAACAATAATGAGCTTTTTATACCATCTTGTGTTTAATTGCAGACAGCTTTAACCATAGGTAACATTAAAACTATGAGCTCTTGGACCAATGGCTTAGGTTTGAAAATAGGGACAGATGAGGATATATACCACATGTCTTTGGCACAGATGAACGACACAGCTAGTCTGAGCGTAAGGTAGGAACAAAATGATCTGTGAAATGTAGTATTCAAATTATTTTTCTGTTGTAGACCTTAACAGCTTTGTTTAGGAAATAGTGTGTTCCAAGGGTACAAAGACAGAGGTGAAGCGTAAGAGCATCTGTGCTAGGGAGAATGATAAGAAACCGAAATCCTAGGTTGTGTACTTCCCTTTTGCCTTAATTTTGTTCAAAGAAGCTAGAATTGCTTTATAATTGGGAAAATAGTTTTTAACTGATTATGATTTTTCTCTAAGCAGATGTGAGGGGGGAGATTGAGGTGTTTTAAAGAAAACACTTATTTTATGAGCTCAGATTCTAATGTAATCAGGGAAAACTAGCACAGTCAGTCACAAGAGCAGTAGATGGGCAGGCGCTGGAGACCTACAGTGCACCCAGTGCTCTGTGTCTATTATTTAGGACGATAAAATGACTGGATAAGTTGTATTTCACACACCTGTGAGACTTGGGTTGTACATAGCATGTGTAAGAGGAAGCTTTCTCTCTGTCTCTCTCTATATACTCTCTCTCTGTCTTTCTCTCTCTCTATATATATATGTAGATAGATAGATAGATAGATGGATAGATAGATAGATAGATAGA